GGGTTCCTGATGCCCGCCTATCAAGCTAGCTACCATCTTCTCAAGCCACTGTCCTGCCAGACCCAGATGCACTCAACACGATACGCCATACCACAAGCCTTTACAACTTAGATACTACTTTGTCTCAAGACATGCTCAAATCCACGTGGGCCAGACATCTCAAAAGAGTGTGTCAGCCTGCAGATATGTCCAAGCTAATGACAGAGGCATATAATTGACACCCGAGCTGGACCCCAAGTGCGATCAAGAAAGATATTAACATATTGAGACTATATCTGGTCCTCTGAAATATTAGATTGTACCACATAAGGAAAAATCTAGGACATGTATTTACCATCGTTGTACGCCTTCTTCAGCATGTTTTCCAGATGAAGCTCAACAAGCATTGATCTTTCAAAACTCAAAGGATTTCTCCTAATACCGATAATAATATAAGCAAAATATGCAAGGGTCTGCATCGTAATTTATTTGAATGTTGTTAATTTACAGATCTAGAGATGTCCAAAACGCATCTATCTTTTCCAACATACTTATCCAAATTCTGCAATTTATTGCATACCAATTATCAGACCAATGACACTGAACACAGAGTCAACTAAATTCAGTAAAACTTGCTTACCAATTTCTCATATAACTAAAACTGCAGCCAGGTAATGGGAACGCACAACGTAGTTGTGCAGAATGGTTTCGGAAATTCCATCTGCCTAAATGTCAGGATCAGCTGTAAACTCAAGTTTGCAAAGGCACGTTCTCATTTTCAGCAGAAGTTTAACGAAATCAATCATTGCAGCATCATGCCAATAGTATCTGTAAATTTAGGCAAGAAAGTATGTGTTTGACTTCTCTGTGAATACATACTCGTGAGTACCATGTATTCTTATTGATGATAGCCCAACGAAAAGGCAAATGATCTAAGCATAAACCCTCAAAATTTCATTTACCTGAGATACCCAAGTACAGAAAAATGGAGAAATAAATTGAAATCAATGTGTTATTCATATTGGATTTCAAACAATCACGAGGTTCTAAAGTTACATACAATGGAGTACCGCAGCTCTTACATAAGCGATTATACCTTAAATCAAGTTACATCCAGTTATCCCGCAAAACATCCTTGAAATCATCCTCATCAGCCATAAATAATAGGAAAAGCTTGTGTTGCACGTTGATGGAAGAGGATTACAAAGATTTTGAACTTGCATATCTGTAATAGATCAACCGATGATGCGTTATCATTGCAAGTTCCCAATGTGTGGTTGCTAGTACTCCAAATTGTGCCCCACGCAGTGCAAGCTGAAGAATGCACACTGCGCTGAGACCATGTATTTCAACTGGTTTTCTGCATTATCCACCGGACTCCTCATGGTATCAAGACGAGATGGCAATCAAATGCCGATTGCCAACGACATCTTTCTGGAACTTTTAAACCAGAACGGACACACATTTGGCATGATCAAGGCATATCCATCACGTTTATTTCTCAAATGAACTCAAAGAAATCTTTTCAAGCAGCAATGGCCAGTCGTCTCCAAGTTGCTGTGGATTCAGCTCCATTGCAAGCTTAAAATCAACCATAGATAAGGAAATTGGGAATTTCTTCTCGGGCATCCCTCCAATGACATTATTTCGCATATGCAAGTGATTAATAGCAGGCCACGTGCCATTAAGGACCTTGTCTGGAATCTGATGCTTCTGGCCAAGATGACTATGTGGCTCAGGTGTGGACCTTGCTCCAACCAGCTCAATACAAGACTTAATCAGCCGCTTCAAGTAGATATCCAACATCACGTTTAATATATTAGCACACTCAACTGAGACTCCTCCAATTCCTTGTGCAGCCGCTATATGCTGCATACGTCTCCTCAGAGATTCCGTGTCAGACAATTCCCCAGTGTCATGATAACTAACAAAATCATCAGAGTTCCCCACCGACATAGCTTTGCGGCCACCACCTACGCTAGCAGGACAACATGGAACTCCAAGCGGCGCGTGCAAAGGAATTTTAGAGAAACTAGAGAGAGTTACCTGGTCCACCTCTTCCCCATCTTCCACTATGGCCATCACAGCCTCATTTTTACTGTGTGCTCCAGATTTATCTGCAGGTTCCGGAATAAGACCTCTATCCTTCTCAAGCAGCCCAGGAACAGACTGATACTTCTGCAACGATCTTCGGTAATCACATGGACTCAAAAGCCCATTCTCAGTCATAATCTTGCTACCACTGTCTTCCGTGGCAGTTGAATGGTTTCCATTTGGCCCCAGCGGACTTGGCCTATCCTTGAGCTTCCTTTCACGAATTCCAGACCTGCTCTTTCGGAGAGAGATTTGAGGAACTCCATTTGACCAAATAGAGGAACTCTGGTTCTGATTTTGAATAAGCGACCCATTTTGGTCGGGCCCGTCTTCTACGCTAGGTGAAAGTTTGGCGGTTCGTGAGACAGATTTTGCAGGATCAGCTTCATAAACTGGCGGCGGTGTTTTGGCTTGGCATGCATTCTTCAATATCGATCTTATGAACTGATTGTGCAATGGGAGATTCTCCCTTCCGAGCACTCGACAGCATAGCTTGTCGAAATCGCCCTTACTGAGCTTTTGGCTCAAGAACTGGTTCAGATAATGAAAGTATCGTTTCGATCTGTCCACTCCAATCCTCTTCACAATTTGAGCTTTCAAGTCACCCAAATCGATTCTGAAGCTCTGCTGTGGTTGCATTTCTTGAAAAATAGGTTCATGCACCAAGCACGGACCCACGAATGTCCAAATCAACAGCTCCAGCCACAAAACTGCCGTTAATTCCAACTACAAATGACCTGCAGTACCTGATTTACGACCATCAGATGCAGATAAATTCTCAAGCTCGGCACATACCAGCAGAGCTAGTAAACCATATCTTCATACGCACCAGAACCCCATCGAAACACCCACCCACTGCTGCTATTTCTGTTTCCAAGCGAAGTATTCAGTATTCAGGGGCAGCCACACGTCCAGGGGCGAGGGCGCCAAGGCAAATACAAACTCTCGGGAACCCCAAAAAAACCCTAGGATCAGAATGTCTGCGGAGAGAATTCGCAGAAAACCAAAATGGAGCTCCCCAATTGATCAAGAACGGAGACGAATACGAAAAACCCTAAGTTCCGAGCCACCAAGCTCGGTGCTTCCACGAACTGCACGAACGACAAATCAAATCAGCCCACCGGAGGAAACGACCATTCTCGCGCGCAATTGAAGAGCAGCGCACTCGAGAAAGCAAAATTGCAAGCTCAAAAACCGCGACGGGCGAGCGGAACGAAGGTGGAGCTGGAAACAGAGAATGCGGTGCAGCTGCAGCAGCAGCAGCAGCAGCAACCAAAAAGAAAGGAAAGAGAAGAGAAAGAAAGAAAGTACTCGAATTGAGCGGGCGGAGAACGGAAGCTGAGGGCGGAAGCGCGGGCGGATTGAATTCTGACCTGGCGAATTTGCAGGGGCGGGAGGTGGTGGGTGGGGGTTCGAATATCGCGGCTTCAGCGGTCTCGTCTCCGTCGTGGACTTCATGCGAGAGCTGGGTGGGGTTTCGAGTGCTACCGCATTGTAGCTCGGAGTGCAGACCAAGTGCTTGATACGAGAAAGCTCGAGCGGGGGACGGCAATGGCGGAATTTTTGCCGACGAAGAAGAAGAAGAAGAAGAAGCAGCAGCAGCAGAAGAAGAAGCAAAGAGAGCAAAAGAGAGTCGTTTTGGCTGGGGCTGGTCTCTCTCTTTCTTCGCTCTCGATTCGCTCGTGCGTCAAAATGGTCGGCGGGGGATCGGCGGGGATCGGCGGTGGGTCGCTCGGCTCGCGCGACGAGTCGAGTGCGTGACTCGGCTCGCCTCGCGCCGACTTCGTGTAAATTGTCCCTGGATCGGATCGGATCGGATCGATCCATCCATCTATCCGGACCACCCGACCCGTTTCTTCTCCTACCCGGTTACCAAAATCCATCTCGTACAGGAGCAAGACCCTAATAAAATGTCCACTCCTAATTGCGTTATTTCATACGAGCTTCTTACCAACACAACTTACACATTTTTAGGTTCTACACATTCATGACTGAGTGAACTGTATACCCATCGTAGGGTCTTTCTTTTGTTGGCGCAAATGACTCTATCGAAATGTGTCTTCGATGACGGTGAATGTGATAATCCCTAATCGAAATAACTAATCATACACTAACTTGTCTGTATCAAGTGAATGATGACCGATGTCGTTTTAATTAGCGTTTCTTGTGAGCTATTCTTTTCATTAGTTATGATAGAACATAGCGGTAAGATGATGCAAATTTTTCGTGTTTCAAAATCGAGAATTAGAGAGTTAATGAGGGGTTGAATGCCTCCAACTCAGAATTAAGAGAGTGCGAAAAGATAAACTCGAGATGAACACGGACTGTAATGATACAATATATGATTCAAGAGCCATAACTTCATCAAAAAGAACAATGTGATATTTAAAGCTGTTAATGATTCAGTTGCCTTTTAAGTGGGTGCAGTGTTAATAACAATATTCCTAGCTTTATTTCGTAACGATACAATTGTCAAGAAGGTTGTTATGGTCTATACAAGGTGTTTGACAAACTTATTATATTTACAACATCTTTACAACATAACAGCTTTTCAAAATAATTATAGCATGACCATAGTTGCTCGAATATTCCTTTTAAGCACGCGATCACTTTGTCCTTTTTTTTTTCTTTCGCCTCTCTTTATGTTCAATAAAAAAAAACGCATTCTTCAATCGTTTTTCCATTTTCCTTGGTATCTTCATACAACACGAATGAAATTCCAAAACACAAAATCTAAAAGAAAAAAACTTCAAACAAAGCGTGAACCAAAAACCCCGAACATAACCGAATCGTGTCAATTCGGGTCACCCATGCAGCCTAAAATGGCCTAGCGCCATGGGACTTTACGGGTCGGGTCGGGTCTATTTGAAAAACCATGGAGACCCGCTGAGGTCGGTCCGGTCCGGTCCGGTGCAGGACCACACGACACGAATGATATATATTGTTCTTGAACCAACGCCACTTCAAACTGCTGCAACTGCTCCTGCCTCCTGCCTCCTCCTCGTTGATTTCCAGATTGTTTCGCCGAGGCGAAGCGACGGTACACACACTCTCTCTCTCTCGCTCGCTCGCTCGCTCTCCATCCTTTGAGATTAACAATCAAGGTGAAAACTTTAGGAGCACTGGGAGAAACCCATCTCTGGAATCTGCTAATACGTCATCTGGGTCCAATCAGTTTGTGTTCCCTGACGAGTCCCAGCTACAGCTATGGCGGAAACGGTACTCTTCATGCCCTCTTCTTCTTCTTCTTCATAATGACACCCCCCCCCCCCCCCCCACCCCCCCCAAAATCCTTCCTTTCTTCTTTAATTGTCCTTGCTCGTCTTACCCAAAACTTGGAATTCGCCCCCAGGGCTTTCTGCCTGAGGATGATTTCAGATTGGAGGCTACTCGATCCAGATGTAACTATCTCTCCCCTTTTCCTTAAATCTTGCTTCTTGTCGTTGCATTTGTTGTTGGAGGATTTATGTGGTCGATTGTGTTTTGGCAGTTTCGAAAGTCCTCAAAAAGCATGCGGAATTGTCCGAGCGTCTTTCCAGGTACCTCTCCCTCACCCTTCGTTTGTCGATCCCTCCTCGTACGGATTCCGTGGCTTCTCTAATGTTGCCGTCGTGGAGTCGTTGGACTCTCGATATCCGTATGCGCGGGCCACGAAAGTTCGCTAGTCTTTGATTATTAGTCGAAATCTATTTGTGATTGCTCCCCAAGCTGTGACCTGAATATCCATTTATTGTGTTCATAATAGAGCTATCTGCTAATCCTGTGGCAAGATTAAGTTCCAAGATTGCTCTATAGTGAACCTCGGGCACGTTTATGTGGCCATGCTCTATGATTTCGTACATTCGTTCTGACGTCATCTGCCTCGACGACATTGACATAAGTTTTTTACACCTGTGTCCATGGTGGACGTGATTTCCATTGACAACCTATGAAATTAAATGAGTAAATTAAGTTGTTTCGAGAAAACAAGATAATCCTAATCAGGAATCCGAAGGTTTTGTACATAAGATCAGCTAGTCAGTAATTATCTCTTGGTCCTTGAAGATGCCCTATCTGTGTTGCCCTTCAATTCTTTCTCCTTTTATGTCGATGAATGCGTCGGGCCTTATACTAGGTTCCATATCTTTCAAATTTCTATATTTTTAATCGAAAGTTCTTGATCCTTACTGTTGACATAATTAATAACTTGATTCAGATTTGATTCTCATTTAAGCTGATCATTTGTTTACATTATAGTCACGGCTCAAGCAGCTGCTGTACCCGAACAGAAAACAAAGATTTGGTATATAGTAAATATAGGTATTGGAGGGAATACTCTCTTTATATATCTGCGGGTGTACAATTACATTTTATAGTTCTTACAGGCTACATGCTGTCTGGCCAAATGGTATTCAATTGTCTATGGTTACGCCCAAGAGTAATGACGGTGTTCTTTTCACATAACCTCAAGTGGTGCTCATGGTTGTAGTGCTATTAAATGCTTTTTATTTCAGTGTCTAGTTTTCGCCTCGGTGAATATGGATCTAATATCTGATGATTGAGACAGATTTGACTCTAATAGACTTAGGCACTGAGGCTAGACTGATGTGAAGTTGCAGGGACTCGGACAAATCTGTTTTTGAGCGGCTACAGAAAGAATTTGACAGTGCACGTGCTTCCCAAAGTCAAGGTATCTCTTGCATTGATAGCATATTTTCCGATCATGATTAACTTTTTATTCCTTCAAACAGCATTTGCCTTTTGGATCCTAATTTTGGGTCACTTCTGGTAGTAAATCATTCCATCACAATTGCCTTCTGAAATCTCCAATTCGTAACAGTAAAATGTTCAGTCTTGGGTGGAAAAAAAAATTGAGTGCTGGGGTTGGCCTGTCTTAATATGCCTATTGCAGTGGACCTGGGCTATAAAAGCTGGCCTGATCATCGGCCACATTTTTGTGTGACAGATGCTTATAGAGCTAAGCTGAGGCTCGTCCCAGACGCGCCCTGATTTCAAGTTGCCAAAGAAGCTTTTTTTAGGATTATGCTTCTGACTTTGAATTAGGTTTTTTATTTCCTTTGGGATTTTTTCTTTTTGTTTTGGGTTTTTTTTTTTTTGGGGGGGGGGGGGGGGGGGAGAAGGACTCGGTTGAGTCGGTGATGTCACTTACAACTGCAGAGATCAACTCTTCAAGCGTTTTTTATTTCAAGGTTTTTCATGTTAGCCAAGGTCTTTTCTTGTTTTTGTGTCCATTAATTGAACTTGTTGACCATTTCAACTATATTTCATGCAGTGAAAGGTTTTCCTTTCGTGAGGTTGTTAGATTGTGCTGTACATTAGTTATGTAACCTGTATGTGACAGAATTACTAGGCTAGTCAGCTGTGATGTAGATGACTTACCACGGCATATACTGTTTGGACTCTCATTATAAGTACACCATTTTGCTTGCTGCTGTGTACTTTGTAATTACACCTTAGCAATCTGCTTAATTTGCTGCTTTAATAAAGTAAACACATGAAATACTTTTCAGAGATTCACTTGGATGGTGAAGAATGGAATGATGGCCTCTTAGCAACCATAAGAGAGCGGGTACTTTTCTGCTGATTACTTCCAATTGTCTGCTAAGTTCTCCTCCTTACTAATGTTTGGTTCTGATGAATAAAATTCTCTTTGTATTCTAGTAGCTCTTGCTATTACTAGTAATTACTCGATTGAAATTTAATTGAGAACCTCTCTCCTTTCATATAAGGTTCACATGGAGGCAGACAGGAAGGCTATGGCAGGAGACACAACTATCTCTTCCGGCACTTATATTCAGGAAAAAATTACTTATAAAGTTGGAAACAAGGTAAGCTTTTGATATTCTTATGCTGTGTTGTTTGGATCCCTGAACTTCTATTGATGATTGTATAACCACAGTTTTGAGATGCTCTAGTCTGTGGCTTGTTATAAAGTACACAACAGAACCACACATACTGAAGTATCTCGCAGAAAACATGGATACACAGTGCTGTAGGTTTTATTGTAAGATTTGAATTTGTGGTGCTTGCTTGATTAATGGAACTTGGGAAGCTAAATATGTAAAACTCTTCACGGAATTTGTACTTCGGCTTTAGTATCATCGTATGCCAGGATCGGGCATAATTGTGAAAACCGATTGGCATTCCCCTCTATTTGCAAGTAAAATCTTGGGCTTTGTGTTGATTGGCACTTTACATGCAAATAAAGGCTTGATCTTGTGTTAATTTTTGTGAACAGGTGATTTGTTGTTTGGAAGGCGCAAGAATTGGCATACAGTATGAAACTTTTTTTGCTGGTAATTTGTTGTTAATTAGCTGGAGTATAAATTGTCTATCTGGTTTACGTACCATATTTTTCATAGAGGGTTTTGCTTGTTCCTATGGAATCTAATTCTTGTATAGGCGAAAATGGGTATTGTGTACTTGATCAGACAAGTTTAACATGTTCACTTACAGTAACATGTCTATTGGTCGATAAATATTAGGTACCAATTTAGTGAGTGCACTAGGGGATTGGAGGGAGAGAGAGATGGAGAGAGAGAGAGGGAGAGAGAGAGAGAGACACACACACACACAGAGTTAGAAACATGATCCTCTAGCAGGCTGTGCTGACGTAGGATTTGTAGACTAGCACTGAATGAAGTGTCATGCGGCTTTTGTCCATCATATTTTCTATTAATATAGTCAGATATGCTCTGCATTGTTCACCATAAGTGGCTCAAGAGTCGTGAGAGATGTTTTTTCCAATGATCCTACCTTTTCTTTTTTAGTTACCACACATCTATTACCATACACGTGGTTGCCAAGTCAATTCGTGCAGTTGAAGCTGCTATTCCAGATAGATCACAATGCAACAATTTGTTACAAGCAAATATACCTACGTTATGATGATTTAAAAGTGAATTTGGAAAATTGTCTGGACCTATTTTCTTTTCCTTATTTGAGAATATGAATGACAGTTGTATCTGATGAAATTGATGTCTGATGACATGGGTGTGCACAACCTCCAATGGAATTACGTCATCGACTAATTTTTTTCATTATAATTGGGTTTGGCTGATGAAATTTTTTTTGTCAAAGGCCTTATCTACTAGCATGTAAATTATCGATATTTTAACAGTCTTTAACAGCAATTTTTGTCGATGAATTTAGGGTTTTCCCTATCCCTATTTGCATGACTGTTGTACCAAATGTTGCATTTCCTTAATCAGTATCTTGAGCTTATCTAGGCATAGACACATGCTGGCCCAAGTGGAAGGTGTAAAGACAACAGTTTACCCTATATTCTCTTGACCCGTGTAATTCACAAATAGTTTTGTGGAAAAAATTCACGTATCATCTGTGTTTTTTTTAACCTTTGCAGGAGAGCCATGTGAATTATACCACATGGTTCTTGAGAGTAAATCATTTTTGGAAAAGATGACTGTCCTGGAACATACAATTCCATTCTTTATACCAGTACGTGATACGGAAAATGATCTCCTTTCTTCAAATGCAATGGTGAGGTCTCCTGCCTGAATCCTTTGGGACTTGGGCTTTCTATGTTAGGTCTTTTCTCATCAAAATGATTTATAAACAGAAATTTATAGATCGTGTTGGAGAACTTCTGCAGGCTTATGTGGATAGACGTGAACAGGTATGTCATTATGTGGAAAGCCTACTTCTTGTTTACTACATCTCTGGTCTTTTCTAATGTTTTGGTTGCTTCGAGTCATTAACATGTAACTACAAACCTCAAATTGGATTCTTTTCTTATCTACGTTGCTCGTCTATGCAGGTCCGCCTTATTAAAGAGTTGTATGGAAACCAAATTGGAGAGCTGTATCACAGTCTTCCGTTCAACATGGTCGAATTTGTACTTGATGATTTTGAGTGGTTGGTGAAATTTCTTTAATCTATTCATGTGTATAGGGACTTTTCATGGATAGCTTTCCATTCTGACAACATATTGATAATGTGATCTCATGCTCTGATGTACCTTCTCTATGTTGATTTTGATGTTGATTGGTTTTAATGGTTAAGCCAGTCCTGCAGCTTGTCTTCTTTTGTCAAATAAAACTGTTTCATCTGCATATATAGTGCTATTAGAAAATATTTATCGCAGTTAAACTAATCTTGCTATTCTTCCTTGTGGAAGCATTTAAATATTATGCCACTTTCATCTATCAACTTGAGTTTCTCGATGAATCGGCGTGGTGCTCTCACTAATTATGCATAATCTCAGTGTAGGAGGTCCTGTGTTTGAATATTCAACTTTTAAGAAGTCCCTGAATAGATGACATTGTGACGGTTTCTTTTGCAGCAAGGTAACAGTTACTCTGAGGTATGAAGACCTCAGTTGCGTACTCCCAACTCGTATAAGAGTCCTGGCATGGCCAAGGAAAAACAGTACCAGTCCAGTCTCCATGAACCGAAGGGTAAATGGAGTTTCTGGAAGTCACCCTAGTCCAGCTCGCCTTTCTTATGCTGAGGAGGCCTTGCGAAGTATGAGCTTGCCAGAAGGTATTTTTCCCTGCTTATATAATTTCTGAGGCTCTTGTCCAGTTTTCAGGTAAGGATGTCAAACTTTCACTTATAAAAAGAAAGGATGTCAAATTCTGTCAAGGCTTTTGGCAGGTTGAATTTTTTATCTGATGCACTGAACTGCCAATCAAATTCCTGGTCAACTCCATATGCTATATATGTGAAGGATAAGGTTTTGCTGGATTTTGCAATTTTTTTAATAAAAATTTTTGTGGTATGTCATTATCTTAGATTGAGTCCGTACTAGACTATCTGAGATGAACAAATTTGAGGAATGAAGGAATAAGTTTTAAATATATAGCGGAGGGCTTTGTTGTCTTGTCCTCTTCTCCATAAATAGGCACCATGAGCTTGAAACTTATAATTTATGTGAAAACTTCACATGGGTATAACTTAATTTAAGCCAACTGACGAATTGGAGGAATCCTGTCTATGTGCTGCTCTCTCGTGATTTATTTGAGGGCCTCTAATTTTGCTTTCTCTCTCCCATGTTCAGCATTTGCAGAAATTGTATTAAATTTGCCACCAGCTCTCCAGCAATTATATCAGCAAAGATGCATCTCTTAGTAATTTGGATTCAACAAGTGTCCAAACTGTACAATGTAACAGCAATATCTGAGGTACTCACGTCCAACTTCTGCTTGTTTGTCTTCGTTTTCTCCCCTTATTCTGCGGTATACTTCGTAACTATCAGGAAAGGAAAATTTTCTTGTCACTAAGCTTGGTTTAAAATGTGCTCCTCATTGTTTTGCTAAAAATATCACTTCTTCTTAACTTTCAACTTTGCTAAATTCATTTTGGAAGTTCCGGGAATTAGTTGCAATTGTGTTTTTGAAATTGTATTAATTTTCTTTATTGGTTATTTTTGCACTATGATCATAGTGAAAAGCGAAAAATTAATGGGAACATCCTCATGATATTCACCTGTTTCATTTCCAACCGATCAGTATATCCAGCAGTCCAAATTGCTCAGTGAGGCCAAGTTCTGCTGTTTATATTTTCAATGGGTAAAAGACATTGTTGTTCTTGTTTCACGACACTGCTATGCCACCCACTTGGTCTTTTCTTCTTTTCAGTTTTACATTGTCGGGTCCATTAATTATTGATAGTAGTTTTAACATTCTTAATTTTTTTTGAGGCGTATCTTTTTTGGTCCGTAAAGTCTGCATAGATATTTTTCGACTTTTTTCTTGGCTGCATTGTTTGTCTGTTTTAATGAAAACTTAAGAGCACCTTTGCCTTCTGTGGAATTCATATTGGATTTATGTTATTCTTGTTATTTCACTATGCAATTGTTCTTTACTGCCAAATCAAGACAGTGGAATGAGGTGATGACAAGTGAAACAAGGTCTTACAGGGAGCAACTAATTGCATTGTAGGTTGTTTGACCTGACAGGGGCATGATAGATAAGGAGGAGAAGTCGAGGGAGTTGAACTCTTATAATTTCACGTAGCATAATTAGCAAAACGCCTAAAGTGCAAAACTATATCGTTTATATAAATTATTTGTACTGCTGATACTTTGTCCTAGTAGTATATGGATTTGATAAGTCTGGACTCAATATCGTTTTTCATGTTTTTCTCAGAGGATGCTGAATTGAGATCTATTAAGAATGGGGGACGATGAAAGAGTGAAGCTGTGGATGTATTGCTATTTTGAAGTTCTCATTTGATCCTAGTTCTTGACAGTTATCACGAAGCTCAAAGTTGAGGGCTTGAAGGGACTGTCGACATTCCGGCGGCAGTTGGTTGCAGTGCTCTAATTTGTTTCCTAAAAATCCCATAGATTTTGTATCAACAGTCTTTGTAGTTTTACAGAGCCCCCAAAGCTGGGCTTCAACATATATGTTTTCTGCCTAGATTGGAGTCTCCCCTCTAGCCAGCCATCCTCTTTGGTTTAAAGTAGGGGCATTCAATGCTGCCAATGTCTGCCAAAAAGGGTGGCCTGACCGAACCTTATGGCTCATTTTTACTTGTGTGATGAGGGATACTTGAATTGGTCCATATATTTGAAATTGCAAATCTCTTTGGATGTTGCTCTCTCTCTCTCTCTCTCTCTTTCTCGTGAAGACTCACAGTAACTACTGCTATAATGCTAGTAAACTGATATACTCGCATGCCGTGTGAGTGATACCTATTTGTCCACAAGACAATTTAGCAAAATTCCAGCTGCTCTCGGGAGAGCACTCTCCCACCCAAAGCATCCTCGATTTTCAATGTGGACGATTAAATACTGACATCACAGGCAAGATGACATAAAGTAGAAGAAAAATGGACTGATTGATCCATCGAAGAATGATTTATGTGCAAATGCTTTTCGGGCATACAATAGAAGGTCCCAATATGTTATGAACAGCATATCATTCACCATCATCTTTCCTTCCATTCGTAAACAATTATCATCTCCAAAGGAATAGGAACACTTCCTTTTCCTATCCACCACCTATTCCTTATAGCATTAGAAAGGCCGATTTATCAGTAGATGAAGCACTCAAGTACGTGTCAATTTTTTTAGAGTAAACGAAACATTAACATTTTGCAACGCCTCTTCTATAAAATTTATGAAGTGGAAACATTTCTTCCCTACTGAACCTCTCTACCCAGCGGCAGCGAAAAAAGAAACAGGCCAATTTGGAGAGCCCCAACAGGGACAAAATACGGACTAAAAAGAGAAAAAGATCACAAAGATCTGCTCACAGAGCAGACAACTTGAAAAAGGGCTGCCCGGTATTAACCTATCCTACCATTCAGTGCCCTTAATCTAAATTACAACAATAAAAAAAGCTAAATACAAGTTCACGACTTAATTTTGTTTTCCCCGTCCTCTGCCCCTCCTGCTGTATCTGGGTTGCTTTCTTCCTTCTTGTTTCTCATTCACAATGCGTCTCTTACCTGTGCCACTGTATTTTTCATGTGGTTGAGTAAGGTCCTGAGAGAATTCCTCATACTGCATGTTAGCATTGTTTTGGGAGCCAGTGGCAACACCATCAATCTCGCAACTCTCGTTTACATTTGGGACCTCAATAGAAGTTTCACTGAGGAGCTCACACGTCTCCTCCGCATGGGGAGACGTAGGAATGCTCGGTCCAACAGGTGTAATCTCCTCATCGTACGACCTATGATTTTCATGTTCTGGTTCCAACCCAGCTGACAAGCTACCAGGGGAGGCATAAAATTTCAGTCATACTGACCTGATATATGCATCACCAAAAAGAAAGGTCAGGTAGGGGCTCACCTTGCTCCAGAAGCAGGGAAACCATTTGCATCCACTGAACCTCCAGTTTGAGCCGCTTCTGTAAACATTGAAGAGACATTAACAGGTCAAGATTTTCATTGGTCTTCATGTGGAGCGAGGAGCTAAAACTTTCAGGAAAGTTTTTATTCTTCATAAGCACAGACTTCACAAACTGGGATCACATTCAAATAAACTAAACAGATCCACACTAAACCAACAACCGGGAACTGAAAAGGAGGCAACACTCAAAATAAACCATCTGAAATTCCCAAAACGACAACGGAACATCCTGAAGCAGATGCAACTCAATGATCTGTACGGGTCAAGCTAAAAAGCCATCTATAAGCTAAAAGCCTAATGCCAAAAATCTTGAACAGAGCTCAAGCATTTACTCTGATTAGTCCTCTACTTTCTAACTGAGCAGTAAAGACGAGACTGTTGGTTGGAACTCCTTTTCCTCCCACAATAGAACAGCATGAAACTAATTCTGAATAAAGGTAACCCTTAATCAAGCTCTTTGAAAATGCTTGCAATCAATATCATGACATTGATTCCCAATAACTCCAATTTTTAAGTCATTTTGCATCTTTTAGAGTACAAGTTTTATACCCAGTCACTATTGAAACGAACAGTAGGACATGAGATGAAGCGTAATCACACTGTGCAAACCCACTAAATGATAGTTGCAATTTTGATAAATTTATTGGAAGTAAAATGCTTGACAATAATCCCTGTAAAGATGCAGAATTGATTCTGCTGCAAGTAGACAACTTCAAGTTAACATTTCACTAAATTCCTCATGCGCAATCACAAAAAGTTCAAAGAACTAAGTAGCTCACCCAACCAAACTTATGCATAATAATTCGTTAAGACCACATGCATGGACATACCAGGTATGCTCATCCTCATTGAACCACCATCTTGCTGACTAAATCCATTGATGTCCTTGGGACCATCACGAACACCAGTACAACCAGCACCACTGTGAACAAAATAACATGCAGATAAGAATAATAAAGAGAATATGAACGAGGACTGACTAGAAGATGAGATCCTCCTCGAACACATATAGTTAGGTGATGACAATCTAACTTCTCATCAGTTAAAAATACATGACAGAATTACACCACGGTGCACATGGAGCTATGTACTTCATGCCTACAAACATACAACAAATACTTGCAAGTTGCACCATAGCTCAACACATGTATAAAGACTGCTTATACTAAAGCTTATCGAGCCAAAACAGGAGCAATCTACCTTTCACTCCATTTTTTCACAGAAATAATTTAACAATGAGGTAGTCCAGATGTCATTCCACAATTCTCAAATGGTCCTTTGTCAATGTGTCACATTATATAGGTAATAGAAAGCATGAGCTACTGGAAGATTTTCCCACGAACAGAATAGTATCATGCAGAAAGCATCTGACATAGAAGCTTGTATGAGCAAGAGGAATGACAGAATGATGACTTCCTCAAGCTCTCACGAAATAATGTTCGAATGCAAAACAAAATGCTCCTGCGAGTAATAACTATTCATTAAACAGAATAGTAGACATGAGCTGCACCTTTTCAGCTTTTTCTGCTTAAAAATATGTCCACACAGTGGTTGACACACATTAAACTATTCAAAATTGAAGTAACAAGAATAAAGAGGCAATCAGAGGGACGACTATATGGAGAGGCTAAAAGTAAAATGTCGAGACAACGACCAAACAGAAAGAGATTACCTATCTAGAACAGTCTCAGTATCTCTTGAGCGGTCCTGCAGACCTAAATTAAAAACTATATGCAGTTAATACTAATTGGTGGTAATACACATATTTACTTACATGAGTACTAAATTTTAAAAGGGTACAGAAAAGAAAAGGCCAGATGATAGCTGCAGATGCAAACAAACCACAGTTCTAGTAAAGATTGTTGAAAAGATATATGCAACCAGGCACGCTGCAATAGCACGAATCTAGCATAATAATACAAAAACAAGTAGATGAGATTTAAGACAGAACCTCCTTTTCCTTCAGTCATGGCCAGATCTCCTTCCAAATCCTTCAAAGCATCAAGCAAGCAAAACATCCAACATGCAGTAAGTCACTTTGCACCATTAGAAAGATCCATATATTAAGCAACTTACGGTACATATAATTTAGGAAAAGGAAAACTCTTTATTCCTCACACAAAACCCACAAAGTACCTTAATCTGTTCAGAAATTAAAGCAGGAGGAGAAGGTGACACTCTCTCTTGCAGATCATCTTGTGCTGTTGCTGAGATTGAAGCAGAAACGGATACCATAAAATGGTCTCTATTTGAATAAATTATAATTGAAAAGCTTGATGTTCACAAGCCTTTATACCTGATGGCTGACAAGCAGCTTGTGGGTCAGGCAGCTCCAAAGATGCATCAACCAATAATGCAGAGCCAGACATTCTCTCTCCCACGACATCTGCTAGGTTACTGCCCAAAAATGAGCTATGACTGCTTTCATGTCCAGATCCAGACCAATCAATTTTTGTCAAGGATGTTTCCCTCAGAGTGGATCCAAAATCAACTCTTTTGGAAGATGAAGCCTTTAGCAATTCTTCTGTTGCCTTTGATCGCACCTTCCTTATTTCCTCTGAAATGTTCCATGATCCACTGATAGGTGAATCCCTTTTCAGCTGCATTTAAGTTGGAAAAAAAAGTGTCAGTGATTAGAATGCAGTCAAGAAAAGAACACCCGTATCACACCACAGTGCAGAAGAAAAACAAGAGCCTTTTCACGTATTTACGAGTCCTTTTCATACATATATGTGACAAACTAAATCCAAGTTGCCTCCTCTATAAGAAACTGACAACCGAGTATAAAACAACAAAAGTGAGAGTGTTAAATCTTTCCTTTATTTCAGTTATCAATGCTTTGCTGCATAATAACTGTTCTAATAACTGGAACTTTGTTAAAGTGATGGTATATGCCATTTTAAAGTTAACTTATAATACTTGCTTCTTCTTCAACTGCATGTCCTAAAATTAGTTGATGCAATTTCAAAAATTAAAAGAGAGTAAACCATTAGACAAGTCCTATCTCCACTGTTTAAAAGGATTAAACAGTTCAAAAGAGCTCTATCAATAAATTGCCCTCCAGTAATCATTGGTTCATTCATTAGGCAACTCTCACACATATTCCTCATAATAAGGCCTAATACACTAATTAACAATGTCAACAAAGAATATACAGCAGTGTCCTTTCAACCTCTGAAAAAAAGCAAGCTAAAATATTGCCCCAGGACACAGATCCCTAACCTGAAGCTTTGATGGGGATAAGGAGTTTCCACCTATTGAAAACAGTGTATCTTCCTTGGAAAACTGCATCCTCACTGGCGAGGCACATCTTTGCTCAGCAGTATTAAAGCATGGAGAGGCCCATGGAGGACGTGCACTCATATATGACTTGGCTACATCCACTGGTGAGCCAGTTTCGCCTTCAATAACCTGGACCAAAAGACAAATTTCAGATGTAACACCCCATTCAAGTCGCATGACAAGCAGCTGAGAACTTAAAAAAGGTAGTTAAGAATATAGTGGCGCACGAGAATGATATTGTAAACAACACGTTACATACAATGGCACACGAGAATGATATTGTTGATAACAAGATTGACATACAGTGGCATGTGAGACTGCTATCGTTGATAACAAAAATGTCATGATTCAAAGACACCAGAGTAAACTCATTTATATGCTTATTTCCTTGTTCCAATGTAAGAAAGATCTCATTGAGAATTCTACTCCCTTGAATGGCAATTACTATGAAACTCTCATGAGGCTCAGTCTTTATATCCTCATGCTGTGTGTAAATAAGGAAGAAGTCCACTCTATGATGCATAAAAGCAAGGTCACAGCATGATGGGCATCAACCGGCACTTCACTAGGGCTTAGGGGAAAAGATGCAGTTAGAGAGGTGAAATCGTCTAGCGAAAAGAATCATGTGAACTTCTGTCACATTAAAGGTAGAAACTACAAACTCATTCATGAGAAAGAGAAATAAAGAGAAGAAAATACTTTAACCAAAAACGAAACCACACGGTTCAAGCACATCAACACATTTTGAGACACTAAAACAACCCTGCAGATTATATCTTGCTGCATGAAACCACAAACATCGTATGATGTTTACACAATGTTTACCAAACAGAAAACCTCAGTACATGAAGATATTCTATCTGAAAGAAAAAGAACTGGATGAAAGGATCACCAACATGTGATGACCAACTAGGGTTTACACTGGGGGTTGCATTATCCAGATCCAACTCTGAATTTGATCCCAATTTCCTCTCCTGCAACCATTTCTTTGCTTCCACAACAGCTGTACTGCATAGATAAGGCATGTCTACATCTGAAACCAAAAAACAAAAAATATAAATCAAACTGCATGTTTTCACCAGGTTAACAATCATCCTCCTGTTGGGTCTCCAAACATCCTAAAATGGCAGTACCTCCAGAGTTTGCTCTGTTGTGAACACTCATCTGCCTACCCTCTCCATCTAAGCTGATGGGAGCTTCCACTACTCTAGATTTGATGATGCTAGTTAATCTGTCATATTCTTCCCTGTAAAGGAATCATCAATCTCAGTATTATGGATAAACCCTACATAGCATGAAGAACAATTTATTTTCAAAATAAATCAAAACAATACTGGAAAGTTCAAAAGTGGTTCAAAACTTAAAACCTAGGAACATCTAACAGATCTAATCACTAGTCTTCCCTAGGAATATGGGGCGAATCGCGAATGTGTTTATACTTCCTCATTGAGAAGATAAAATTTCTTTTCTTTATTTGATAAATGAAGAGATTTCATTAAAAACAGTAGCAAGATGGCACTGCCCTTTGTATGTGGCCTGTAAATAACTGACTAAATTCTTTCCTCAACATATGCTGTATTATTCTGGTTCAAACTCACCGCCCTCTCTCTCTCTCTCTCTCCCTCCACAAACTTATAAGTACACTATGAGGCTAAAACATGGTGAGAGTAGGATCAGAAACTGGACAGTGAGGAGCAAAAGCATTATCTACACTGTATCATTGCATTGTACACAAATATCATTAAAAAAAAATACTTTCCATTTAGTGAGCTAATTAAATTAGCGCTCCAAAAGGAACATGAACTTAATGGAATTCACACGTATACTAGATGGTATTGATTCCTTATTAGTCCTAGCACTTGGTGCTGAGAAACACCAATTTAACTGAAAAAGGAATAGTTTCTGAAAGTATTGCTCACGAAGAAACATGGAGAGAAAGTAAAACCTCTGTGAGGTGGATGCAACACACTAAATACTAGACTTAAAAAATGGACAAAAAACAAATCCTTCAATTACCGAGAGAAAGTCTCCTGCAAAATTAACTTCTCAATTAAGTATTTTGCTCCAACCTTTCCCACATTTACTGGGGCCTCCGTCCTTGGTTCTATCATTTCTGATGACAGATTCTCCTAAAAAAGCAACAATCAGTATTAATCCCATTATGGCTCAACCTTTGCCATAAAAAAGATAAATAGAAAGACGACATATTCTATCAGAAGAATTATTGAATGTATAATGTAAAAGGACCAGTCATGCGATCAGTATTGTACATTGTAACTTTGAAATGGATGGTTATGCTAAAGAACACCAAGCCATGAACAATGTTTTAGAATCATACTGGCGAAAGAACCAGTCATGCTTCCAGGGTGCCGTTTAAACGATTAAACATGCCAACTTATTTATAAAAATTGGACAACGTAAAAGATATAAGCATAACTATAACAAGTGATACCAACCATGCCAAGGCAAAATGGCAAGGAAGCATTCTTAAATTCCATGAGGTTGCATAATTGTGTCTCCCTTGCCACCAACTAGTGCATTTTAATGGAAGTAAAGCTCAAATACAAGTAATAAACAAATTGTTCGACATGCAAATGCATATGCTTGTGTTGAACAACCGTTCTCCAAAAATACTTGTATTGTAAGGAATTGTGCCCATTATGCATATCATGCATATAATTAAACAATCCTTGCATGTAAACTAGAACTTACAAATGAAAGATAGGATAAGGACGGCACCATATCCATGAGATAACAAGGCACTAGAACACAATATTAGGAAAACTATCGAATAACGGTATCAGGGAGTGTTGGGATTCAAACTCTAACACGAGTTCCACAAAATAAATATTTTTCGCAAAAGAGCCAACATTCTTAAGAGCTTGTACGAAAAGTGAAGCTTGACCTAGTGGTCTCGACCATGAGATGCTTTCCTAGGTGTCACAAGTCCCATGCCCGCCATTTCAACTTAGATTTCAATTTCAAAATGGTCCAGATTTAATAGAAACAGGTTGATCGGTTGAACCAGGTAAACCCAATTTCAATAGGCTTAGCCAAGTTGAGCTTTAAGTTGTGAAAGAAATAATATAGGACCAATAAAAGCGTGCTTATAAACACTCTCGTGATGGACAAACAAATTAATATGTTGCATCAATGTGAGCGGCAACGAGAAAATTTCACTGCGTTTAGCAAACCACGACCTCCAAATGGTACATCAAATAAAGCTCTAATTACCCTTCCCTTAGAATCACAGAGAATCTGCCAACGAGATTCTATCAAAAACTGTAAGATGACATATTGTCAATAGGGTGTGGGTACATGCTTTACCCCATGCTTCATTTACTCTTGAATAGATGGGCAAATAAAAAATGCATCATAAACCTAAACCAAGGTCCAAATGTTCACAAGTTTAGAAAAGCGAGCTTCGTCGTTGACAGGTAAAGTAAGGATACATGCGGCAGCAAAACACATATCTATGCAAAGATCCAATAATTATTTCTAATGAGATTTTCTTTCAACTTAATTTTCCAAACTGTCAAACATGCTATGGTGAAGAAAAAAGATTGAATAGTGACCTTATGCAATTCGATGGCCCCAAGGGAAGAGGCGCCAAGGTCATTGTCGTTAGACTCAATATCATCATCTGCACCGAAAAAGAAAATGACCCGCTTAATCAAACTCAAGAGGATGTGGTGCAGTAACAAGCTACCGAAGAACCAGGCGTACAAGCAGCGTATCCCCATTACGTATACGTAGAAGACATATATCCAGCACACTCATCAGAATACGAGTATACAAGGATGCTCAACTAATACGCATGCTTAAGTTTTGGCATTGGCGCAAACAAAGAGACCTTCCCTAACGTCACCATCTTCTACAAAAAAAAGAAAAAAAATCCAATCCTCGCATATCGTAAAAACAAGCAATAATGCAATAATCCCTTCCCCATTCGCAGGAAAGTGGGGGCATACCAGAATCGGAGGCAGCGCCGGAGGAGGAGGAGGAGGAGGAGGAGGACTCGGGGCCGAAGACGGAGGAGATGACCTTGCCGGCGCCGGAGGCAATGAGGCGAGTGGGGGAGAGGATGAGCTTGGAGAGCCAGTTAGGGTTTCGAGGGGGCGAGTCGGGGTCGGGGTCGGGGTCGGTGACGGGGGCGGGGCGGTCGTAGGGGGTGGCGGGGCGGCGGGAACGCCGGGGGCGGAGGATCTTGCCGCCGGATCCGCCGCGAGATCTGGGGATGGAGGCCATGTCCGTCGCGGAGCTTCTCCTGCCTCTCTCTCTCTCTCTCTCTTTCCTCCTCCGTTTGGTGGAGGAGTGTGTTGTGATTGTGTGGGAGAGAGGGGAAACAGGGGTGGGGGGAGAATGGTTATTGTGGTGCTGCCACGCACGTTCGTTCCCCATTTTGTAGCGGTTCGAACTGAAATTCGATTCTCTGCGAAATTCAATGCACAAAAAAAACACCAAAACTCATTACTCTTCTATTCCCCCTCAATCAATGACCACCGACCACAACTACAGCAGCAACAGCAACACTATGTCGTCTGAAGAATATATTAAAACCCCCCCTTCATAGCATGTCGTGCTTGACATTCCACGATGTCACATTCACGTGCAAAATGTGAAAGACACACCTCGAATATTATGCCTTTTGTCCTAATAGATCGGACCCCGACCCCCTCCTTCTTGTGTAGACCCAACACCGACATAGACATGGTGCGTGCGTAGGTGTGGTTATAGCATGATCGATACTAAGTTTGGTGTACAACTTTCTTTAGATTATAAAGTAATGTGCTTGATTGTTTAGTAGGTGTTGGGACACGATTAGACCTGATAAAAGGATGGGCCGAGCCAGGTCGAAAATAGTCCGGCCCAAATTAGCCCATTTTAACCCGGTTTTAACTGATTTCCATGCAATACATATCTCGTGACCCATATTCGACTCGATTCATATTGCTATAACACTTATCAAAACTAAGGCGAGAGCACGAAAAGTGAGCAAGCACGAAATCGACTGAAGAGAAAACTATATGGAAGATAGGTTGGGTTTAACTAAGTTGTAAACTATCTAATACACATTCTAAATCCATTTATGACCCTTTTACCGAATATATCTAACCCAAATAACAACCCGACCCATCAATATATGGGTTAAGAAATCGGCTTATGACCCACGAGTCTAGTGCCGGGACATAAGCTATCAATCTTTTAGGATAACTCGAGATGGGCTCAGCGGCGGCCCAGGAAGGGAAGATGAGAAGTGGGCCGGAGCACGTCACCCGGTGCGTCCTGCGCCAACCATCGCCGCCGCCGTCACTGACTGGCAATCCGCCGTCGTCTCGCCCTCCCTCCTCCGCACCCCGCACAAACGAAGCCATAAATACAAGAAGAGCCTAGGGTTCGAGTAATCTTGTTTCCTTTGGCGAGCGGGCGTATCGCAGAGGCGGGAAAAATATGCCGGGCCTGACCTGCAACTCCTGTAACAAGGAATTCCAAGACGATGCCGACCAGAAGCTCCATTACAAGTCCGAGTGGCATCGCTACAATCTCAAACGCAAGGTCCCTCCCTCTCTCTCTATATCCATCTTCGATCTCCCCTCGCCGTCCTTACGTTGTTATGGAGGAGCATGGCGATGTCTTCTTCTTGATTTCAGCTAAAAGGCAGCGTGCTTTAAGCTCGAATCTTGGTCATCCGTCTCGACGGCCTTGTCGTTCGAAAGAATGACTCCCTGTACCTGATGCCTTTCTGGGTGGCTTCGGGTTTGGAGTCTTTCTCAACCCAATATGTGAATTTGTATTGTTTGGAGAAGATGACAGGGGCATCTGTTTCTTTGGGTGTTTCATGGTTAAGCAGGATCCCTTTATCTAATTTCAATATTGATAGCCGCAAAGGGAAATTGGGTCGGTGATCCCCCTGTTCGTTAGCTGGACTTTGTTTCTCTGTGTGAAGAACAATGACATCTGGCTTAAGGGCGTATGTTGTTTGCACTATTTGCATATGCCATTCTTTGCGTTCCGTTTGTTCGAAAGAGAGCGAAGTTCGTTTTCTAGCGTCTCATTCTTACGAGTACCGACCTCAGCAGCTTCAGTGCGAGGCGAATGGGACATGGGAATGATCTTCACTTGAGAGCCGTGGCCTATTTAAAAATGCTGTTAGAGGTTTCTGCTTTGCCATTTCCTGCTGGGCTATTTAAAAGTGCTATTTGAACCAGTGCTTCCTTAGTGTATGTGATGTCTGGCTTATCACAGATCTCTTGATACTTGTGATTCTGTACCATCTTTCAAGTCCTTTCTATAATACCTTTTCAATCGAAAAGTCATATAACAGTAGGTTGAGATTCGCGACAAACTATTCCTACCTGCATGAATAACTTTAAATCAAACACGACCTGATGTGTTGAATTTGTCAGGTTGCTGGGGTTCCAGGAGTGACGGAGGCTTTGTTTTTGGCTAGGCAAGCTGCACTGGCACAAGAGAAAAATAAGTCCAGTCATACTCCAATGCTCTATAGCTGTGGCATTTGTGGCAAAGGATATAGAAGTGATAAAGCACATGCTCAACATCTCCAGTCGCGAAGCCATATCCTGAGGGCTTCGCAAGGGTTGAACCTTGAAGATGGGGAAAACACAGTTATTAGACCACTACCACCTCGTGTTCAGAAGAGGCCCACTCCACAAAAGGAGTCGGGTATTGCAGAAAGCGAAGATAGTGAAGATGAGTGGGAAGAAGTGGATTCGGAGGATGACTTGGTTGGGGAAGCTGCAAACTCTTTGCATGAACTGAATGTGAATGAGCTGTCCACCGACCATATAATGGAAGATGGTGATGATGGTGATGATTTCTGCGAAGTGGATCCATCATGCTGCTTTATGTGTGATCTCGAGCATAATGGCATAGAATTGTGTATGGTTCACATGCACAAGCAACATGGGTTCTTCATCCCTGATGTTGAGTATTTGAATGATCCAGAAGGACTTCTTACATACCTTGGCCTTAAGGTATGATCTCCAAAAATTGTGAAAAGCATGCTGCTTCAAGTAGTTCTGTTTCTTAAAATTTTTGGCTCATTTCTTATCTAGTTTGTACTTCACCCACAAACAGGTGAAAAGGGATTTAATGTGTTTGTACTGTGATGAGAGGCGTCATCCCTTCAGCAGCTTAGAGGCAGTTAGGAAACACATGACAGCAAAAAGTCATTGCAAAGTTCACTATGGAGATGGTGGTGATGATGAGGAAGCAGAGTTAGAAGAGTTCTACGATTATAGCAGCAGGTTGTATTCCCTCATAGATCTCTACTTCTATGTCATATGTTGACACTCGATCACCTTTTCGGAGAGGTGCCTTGACTTATTATTGTGAAGGCATTTTATAGATGATTATATTGTGATAGTTCTCATATCTCTCCATTAATCTGTCTATTTCTGTTGTATTTCCACTCTATCTACAGCTATGTGGATGAGGATGGGAAACAACTGGTTGCCTCAGGTGATGTGGGAAATTCTGTAGAACTTGGAAGTGGTGGATCTGAACTCGTCATTACCAGAAGATCAGATGGTGGAGTTGCAACCAAAACACTTGGCTCACGGGACTATTTGCGATACTACCGCCAGAAACCCCGTCCATCGACTGGGAATGATGCAGCAATTACTGCTGCACTGGCCTTGAGGTTTATCCCAACCCATCCTCCCGTTCTGTCTCTACCACACAAGCACACTCTCCATACTTGCTTTTGAAATTCTTGATGTTGGCAGAGAAACGAGAAAATTTTAAATAAAGACTCATGGTGGTATGCTATCCCTGATGTTCAGGTACAGGAGTATGGGATTAACTACAACTGTACAGTCAAGAGAACAGATGATCAGGCTGAAGGTGATGAGAGCGATGAATCGATCAGGAGTGGAGGCTATGCGCACCAAAATCGGGATGAAGAGTAATGTCATAAGAAATCTGCCGAAAAATGTTCCACATTAGGAAAGGGGATTTTGTGTATCTGTCATGTTTTTCATGGCCTAGTATACACAAGTATGTAAATTTCCCTTAAGAAATCAGGCTTTCTGCCTTTTGGTGCAAAAGGATCTTTATTTCTTAATACGACATTGAGCAGTATCTGATTTTCAAGGCTGTTTCAACTCTGTTGCTCTTATAGAGCTTCTTATACTTAGATGAACGAGGACACTTGGATGAATATATGATCTTTCTTTGTAACTTGTGATGCTAAAGAGCAATATATGTCCTGATCAGTTGTGTCGCATAAGAATGGTAGTGATATTTAGCAGTGTGATCGAGTAGTGTCGCGCGGTTAAACTTTGGATTGGCTGGGGTCTGATAATTACACGAAATGCAGAAAGGTGGCTTTGATTTTCTTGTCTGACTAGATAAAACAGAATTCATACTTCTATGATATTGTATAAACTGGACATCACATCCGATAGTAATGGAGAGAAGTGAATATACTTTATGAATATATCTACTTACTGCCTGAAGCAAGCAAGAAGGACCGCAACACCGAACAACTGATACAATGGACAATGTCGAGCCAGATTGCACCACTCATGCTGCCAAACTCAGTTTAACAGGGTTGGAGACTTGGGACTGGCTCTGTGTCCTGTCCAACTCGGTTTGAATTGGTTTGAAGCCTCGTTATGTATATCTTGACAACAAACCAAGACGATTGCTCTATACCGTGTTCTATACAGTTCGCATGATATAAGGCTAAACGAAGTTGCAACTGAGAGTCCGACATGTTTGTGGAGATCATACAATATTTGGCACAAGCAAAACTTCAACTGAGTTACATGTACCATGACTGAGATAGGGAACCAGTTCTAAAATTGGGTCCTGTTCTTCCACACCCTTTCCTTTCTTGTCGCAGACACCAACACAGTCATCTTCATCGCAACACATCAGTTCCGACTTCTCATTATCATTGATTTCAACAATAGTCCATAAAAGTTTTCCCACATATTTCGTCTTGACAAAGACTTGAAAACTGCACGAATGACAACTTGAAATAATAGATGATTTCTTTCCTCGATAATATTTTAAAGAATGAATAAATACTACATGTTTCATTAGGATTAGGCTCTACACTATAACACATTCCAGCTCCTCATTGCCTCCACATGCAATGGCCAATCCTCTTTTAGCTACTGTGAACGTCTCTATCGTGTCCCATCAAGTTAACTGCTTCTCTGTATTATCTATATTTTGCAACTTGTCCCACTATCATCCATTAAAACTGATGTGTTACTCAACACCGTTGCCGTTACTCAATTGTAAAATTTGCCGAAGAATACAAATTATTTACTTCTGAAAATGCTATGGTTCTTTCTCAATTACTCGAGTAACAATTCCTACGGCTAGAGTTCTCCCCAATGCTCTTAAGGAGACCCTTCCAAGAGCTTTACAGCTCGAAAACTCTTCTGCACAAACTGGTCCTTGCAAAACCACCTGAATGTACAGATAATTAGAAAAAGATATGTTTATAAGACCTCGGAGCATATTGTTCAGCTACCAATGGGTCAAAATTTTCAAGAATAGATGAAAACTGTAGTAATCCAATTTCACCTCAATAACTGCGCTCTGCTTTGCAAGGAGACACCGCGGTGCTTTCTTCATCACCTTGCCAGTCTTAGGATCGAGCAATGACACCATTTTATCAACTCTGGCTGCTTCCTTTGCATGGTGAATATGAAATTCCAACTTCCCATGCCGAACAAGAATATGATAAGAGTTTCAGCACCAATATTCGCAGAAAGACCAAAGCCAAAACTTGCAACTACCATAAAGTTACCTGAGAACCGATTAGAATGGGGGAAGCACCATCCAAGACGAGCACTTTCAGCTCCAGATGCTTGGTAATGGAAATCGGGAAATCAGGGTGACAAAGGACCCCGCCGGATATCACTTGGCTCGTATCAATTCCCTGAAGAACCACAGCAACATTATCCCCAGTTCTTGCGATTGCACATGGCCGAGAGTCACGTTCCAAAGACCTGACTGTCCCCATATCCCGTGATGGCATGACGAGAACCTGGTATTTAACACAAAGTTAGGTTAGGGCTTGCAATTCCAGGGATGTACAACTACTCCACCTGGTCCATTAAATCCAGAAATCTATTATCCAACTTGATGACAACCTCTAACAATGTCCAGATGGAGCAGAAAAATGATGTTGGTAGTCATGACTAATATAAAAAACCCCTGTATTGACTACTTAAGATCTAAACCTCAAGCAGATCTTAAGGTTTTCACCAGTACAAAGATGCTTTAAAGCTTCGACTGTACTTTCATCTCAATTTGTTAAAATCCTGTTGTGTACCTTCACTCCACTTCGAAGAGCTCCAGCTTCCAATTTCCCACAAGCAGAGACCTGCCCCATCGTAGGTGATTTAATAACATCACATATGGGCATGACTAGAGGTTTCGAAATGTCCCTGGTTGGAGATTGGAGGGAGTCGATAGCATCCAACAAGTATGGTCCCTTATACCTGCATACCACCAAACCAGGAATTTCATAGTTAGTAACTCAACTATGATATGACTTCAAATAGGACAGCACCATTGAACATCCCCTGCCATGTTGGATGCTTGGTTCCCTGAGGCTTTGAGTTAACCAATGTCATAAGATAAACAGAAGGGGCAAGGGCCAGATTCAGCAAACAAACTCATAGAAATCTAGCCGTCGAGGATTGCATAATGGTTATTGCTGAAGCAGCGGTGGGTAAATTTCCCCAACATATTCGAATGCCGCAAAAAAGTAGAAAAAGAAAAGTTGGCCTGATTCATCTGGTCCAAGCTCAGAGAAAAGGAAAAACTTGATGTGAGAAGTAGTGTCTAAACGGCCAATCCAAGGTTAATGGACATTATCAATTGGACTGGGTCAAACCAGGTCCATACAGCAAAACAGGACTGGACCAAGTTTTGTTCTTGGTCGAACTGGACCAATTTTGGCGTATGGACCTTCATTCACCGCGTATTAACTCTCTGAACCAGATATCTGTATTCTTTCAGCATCAGAGTCACCAAAATTAATTGCCTCCCCAGCCCATGCTACAACTGTAAGATGTCAAGAACCAGAACAAGGATACTAACCAGGATAACAAACGAACATCTGAAGGAGCTGAGACCAGATTTTGATTTTCCATGGCACTCAGAGGAATCCATAATACTGATGAGTCCCTAAAACCACTAGACCGGAGAAATGTTCCAAGTTGCTTTTTGATCAAATCGAATCTATCCTTTGAATACTCCACGATGTCCATTTTATTAACTGCAACAATAAGTTGATCTACTCCAAAGCTTCTGATAAGCTGCGCATGCTCTTTAGTTTGGCCCTTACTACCGTCCATGCCAGCTTCAAAAGAACCAATGGACGCATCAATAACGAGCAATGCGGCATCAGCTTGTGTGGCTCCTGATATCATATTTGGAACAAAATCCTTGTGCCCTGGGGAGTCCAGCACAACAACACGATATCTTTTGGTATCAAAATAAGCAACAGCCACCGTCATGGTTATTCCCCTTTCCCTTTCCTCTGGGCTCTCATCCAATGCCCAAGCATAAGCAAAGGACCCCTTGCCCTAACAGGGGAAATAGAAGTAAAAGACACCAGATTTGAGACTGACCGGTAATCACATATGTAAATGGAAGCATTCTAAATATATGGAAGTGACGATACCTGTAGTTTGGCCTCTTTTTCATGCTTGTGCATCTCCTTCTGAGATATTCGTCCCAACAGATGTAGAAGTCTACCTGAAAGTGTTGATTTTCCAGAATCAACATGCCCCACCTACAGAGGGATTTTAATAGAATGATTGCATTGAAATTTTTTTATAAACTTAGGATGAGCATATTGGAGTCTGTATCATGAGAATTAAATAAGAGTGCTGACTCACAATGGCGAGATTCAATTGACTCAATAAGCCATCTTCTGCTTCAGGGAGCATCCATTTTTCAGGTTTATACTGCCCCTGAGAAGTAGCTTTTCCAGTGCCATAACTATTGGAATTTCTACCTCTATCATTAACAGAGACACTGTCTAAACTACGCACAAGACTTTGCGGCTTGATCTCATCCATTGATAAAGTGTACTCAATCCCACCCTCTTGATAGCTTGATGAGGCACCTGCCATTTCATCTTTAGATTTTGGTTTACGTGGGTAGATGAGTTGCTAATGTCCAAATAACCAAGAATGTTTCGCAAAGGAAAAACTACCTGGATTTTTCGCTCTTGATCTTAGATTACGCTCTTCATCTTTTAATTGATTGTTCTCATTACCAGTGACATTTCTGCCCTTTGACATCATAAGAGATGAGCTATTTGACGATCTTGTGCTCATTGGAGCAGACATATTATCCTTCCTTACGGTGGTTGCACTTGCTGAAACCAAATCAGAGTTTCCAAGAATTTTATCTAACATACAAGAGACCAAGTATAACAAAATAAGCACATAAGTACACAAATGAAGATTATGCCCACTCATTCACTTCATAATTATGTGTCCCACAACATCAGAAACTTCACAGGGTCTCTGTCTGAAATTATTCATTCCATTCCACCAGGCAACTAAAGGCAGGGTAATGAGGCGTAAATGTGATTCCGCTGACTAAACTTTGGCCATAACATAATTACATTTTCTTTTCAACCGGTCTACCCATTAGATACCGACTTACCAAGTCACCATCACTGCATTTGGTATGGTAATGTTCTAGAAGACCATCAAATTGGGTCAATTTAAGCATTAACAAATTGCCATTTATCTTTCTCTAGCCATAGGGAGAATTTTAGTATGATAAAGATAAACAATGTAATCAACTCATTCCCTCTGGTACAGTAATGTTCCAGAAGACCATCAAATTGGGTTTACATCGCATTTGGTACAGCAATGTTCTAGAAGACCATCAAATTGGTAAACAATGTAGTCAAACTTACCATGACAATCATTATACAATTCGATTTTCTCCATATAACCTCTAAAGTAGAAACAATGCAAATATAGAAAGTTCAGAGAACACTTTCACCAGGAAGGATCACATTCATTGAACAAAGAAAAAGCATTCTTTCTAGGCCAAAAATAATAAGTCATTCTCTTAAAAATACAACAGATGCTAATGTTCTGGAGTAACTTCAGTTCTTTCCCACCTCAAAAAGAAGATCGCCAATGATCTGTTACTCAAAGTAGAAGGAAAAACTATTTAGGCCTGCAATTTAATGAATACCTTTTGCACCCATTTTGGAGGAACGCAATCCATTGGTGACAATATCATCTGGGGATGGGACATCAAATTTAAAAGGCACTGTAAACATATAGGATAAAGATTAGAGTGTACAGTGTGGTGCTCTACCATCCAAATGTTCCAAAAAGAAAAGAAAACTAGACAAGACTCCAGAAAAAGAATCAATACAGATAATTATAGAGGTTTCAGTTTTAAACTTTTAGCAACGTTACTAGACAATCCAAAAACAAGAAAAGGTGCTAAGTCTCTAAACCAAAACACATGCAGACCTATATTGACAGTTTTATGGGCATGAGTGTTAAATGCCTCGTGTAGCTTATCGAAGTTCCCATGCACATCAGCAAACTCATGTAAGATGGTGCGCTGTCCTGTCAAGGGATCATCATTTTGCTGTTGAATTAATGCAGCCCTTTTAGGTGTCTGATGGGGCAATGATTCAAATAGAGACCTGGCCATTTTGGATGCTCCAGAATCTTTACACACTGCATGAAAGAGATCTATGCTATAAAGGCACAATTAACTGGAAACAAAACACCACAAACAATAGCAGTTGTTGCAAATCTAAAAAGGCCCTCTGAATTCGCACCACAACTTCAACTCAATCACAACATGGTCTTCAAGCCCAAAGTACATGACACGAAATGCACCAAAAGACACATGAAAAGAGTCAAAGGGGACAAGAGAAGGTACACCATTCCCAACAAAGGATTAAAAAGCCGAATGTCAAACCATACAATAGCTAACTACTCAGAATGGCATGCCACTCCAAAAAAAATTACAAACCTGTTTTTAGGTCATTGCCATTGCTGATGCCACTCGGAGGCAAAGGATTTCGAAGAACCCCACAAATATCACATGAGGTCATGCTCTGTTCATTATCATAGGTACAAATGGAGCAACGCCAAACACCAGACCTGGTGGTCTCTTGGTTTGGCTTAGGTGAATTGCCTGTTTACAACAGAAAAAGCTTCAAGAAGCGACACCAGAAAAGAATTTCACCACCACAGTCATGTGACCCGGAGCTTGGCAAATACAGTAAAATACGTCCGAACAGTGAGATAGTTTTGCAAATGAAATACAAAACTACAAACCGCGTTACCTAATTTCACATCGGTGAAAGCATTTTAAACCGTGCCTTCGTCTATCTAACAACTTAAGCTTTCAGATAAGATGGCAGCAGTCTCGCTATTATTTCTAAAACCTGTATCTCTCGTCTAGGCAAGGCAACGGAAGAGTGGGGTACACCGACAAATGGGATTAAGGAAAGGAAAGAAAATGAGCCTAAAAATAGCCAATTCATGCGGTTACGACTTATATCCCAAGTGGTCTAGACAATTTCAGCACTAGGTCCTATCAAGAACCCTCAACAAAAAGGGACCATTTTCTTGTCAAGAAAAGATAGAGACAAGGAAATTCTTGCCAGGTTTCATCTAAAAAGGACTCTGCATTGAAGAGAAAAATGCTCACCATTATCTTCTACATCATAATCGATATCGTAGTCGTCGTAGTCGTCGTAGTCATCATCGTAATCAAAGCCGTAATTAACTTTGCGCGGCATCTTCCTGCCCAAAAAAAAGGGAACGAAACTGCATTGAGCTATCAAGAAACAAAGCTCAGACCAGAACAAGGGCAGACAGCAAAAAATTACCCAGGAACTTCGTTTCAAGACTTTCTCACAATCGCATCGGAAGTCGTTTCTTGCGCTCCCACACCTACTTAGCCCCTCCCCACGCACATGAAGCCGTGCTGCCAAAACGCAAAACGGGGCAAAGCGAAAAACTCTCAGCCGATTAAGCTATGCATCCGCCGCCCCTGTGTTTGGAGTTGGACGAGAAGAGCAGCGGCGAAGAGATTCTGGGATTCTTGATTCTTGAGCAAAAGCAAAGAGGAGAGGAACTTGCGCGAGAGCACGAAATCACTGACCTCGCAAGGCATGATCGGAGCGGAAGACGGGACGGGGCGGGACGAGATGGAGGATGCCTAACCTCTTCGCCGAGGCGAAAGCAGACCAACGGAGAATCTCTACCACACTGCACAACCTCTTCTTCTTCTTCTTCTTCTTCTCTCTTCTTCGTCCTTCTGTCTCTCTCTCTCTCTCTCTCTCTAGAAGCTGACTGCTTACGGAGAAGGATTTTCGGAGATCTCCTTCTTAGATTTTTTTACCTAGCTTTTGATATGATTTTATGCGGGAAAAAACCACCAAAAACCCCAAACTTTATCATCCGCGATACATTTACCCAAAATTTTTTTTGTGACACAAAAAATCCCAAATTTTACTATTTGTGACACATTTACCCCAATATACTGTAGCCTAGGGTATTTTAGTCTTTTTCCCTTTTTCTATTTTTTTTCTATTTTTTTTTTCTTTTTTCGGGCAAGGCTGCCCTCGCCGGCGAGGTCTCCGGCGACCTCACCGGCGCAGGTGAGGGCTGCCCTCGCCGGCGTTGGGCGAGGGCAGCCCTCGCCTCGCCGGCGTCGAGCGAGGGACCTCGCCCGCCGTGCGAGGTGAAGGCCGCCTCGCCTAGGCGTGGCGAGGTGCCGCCGCCGGCTGCCGAGCGAGGGTCGCCCTCGCTTGACGCCGGCGAGGGCCCCCTCGCCGGATCCGGCGAGGGCCGCCTCGCCGACGCCGGGCAAGGGTCGCCCGCCCGGGCGAGCGAGGGCGCCTCGCCGATGCCGAGCGAGGCGTCGGCGAGGGTCGCCCTCGTCGCCTGCGAGGGCGACTCGCCCAACGCCGGCGAGGGCCGCCCTCGCCGGGCGGGCGAGGGAAGCCTCGCCCGACGCCGGCGGCGTGCCTCGCCCGCCCTGTGCAAGGGTAGCCTTCACCTCGCCCGGGCGGGCGAGGTCCTCGCCCGACGCCGGAGGCGAGGGCGCCCTCGCCCAACGCCGGCGGAGGGCGCCTCGCGTGGGCGGGCGAGGGTCCTTCGCCCGACGCCGGCGAGGCGAGGGCCGCCTCGCCCAACGCCGGCGAGGGGCCTCGCGTGGGCGGGGCGAGGGTCCTTCGCCCGACGCCGGCGAGGCGAGAGGTCGCTCGCCCAACGCCGGCGAGGGCGCCTCGCCTACGCCGGCGAGGTCGCCGGAGACCTCGCCGGCGAGGGCAGCCTTGCCGGAAAAAAGAAAAAAAAAACAGAAAAAAGATAGAAAAAGGGAAAAAGACTAAAATACCCTAGGCTACAGTATATTGGGGTAAATGTGTCACAAATAGCAAAGTTTGGGGTTTTTGGTGTCACAAAAAAAAGTTTGGGGTAAATGTGTCACAGATGGCAAAGTTTGAGGTTTTTGGTGATTTTTTCTTGATTTTATGCTGATGTCGATTGTGGCCAGATACAGAAAAAAAAGTGCATAAAATATGCTTTTTTTTTTTCTCTTCTTGCCTTTCTTTTTTTCCATGAATTAACCCCACGAAAAATCTCAAATTGATATATCTGCATTTACGAAAAATCACAAACTACCAGTTTATATCAATTTGAGATTTTTAGTGATCAAAAAACTAGTTCGGAGTACAATTATCATGTACCAATTTGAGATTTTTGATGATCAAAAAAGTAATCCAGAATAAATTTGTCATAGGGTGCCAATTTGAGGTTTTTTATTGTCAAAAAAATTATTCGGGGTAAAATTATCACAAATGTACAAGTTTAGAGTTTTTCATGGTATTAACCCTAATTCAATTTTCATAAATGTACCAGTTTAGGGTTTTTGGTGGTTAAAAAATTAATTTAGTGTAAATTTATCAGCAATGTACCAATTTAGAGTTTTTTGTGGCATTAATCCATATTTTAAATAGGAAAGTTCTACGGTTATGCGGCTGGATTTACAAGATCGGTCTTGCAACTCGTGTGGACCGTTGGATTCAATCGAAAAAAATAAAGAGGACCGTCGAATCCACTTTAAAACGTGGAATCCGTTACTTCAGAAAGTTCAGTGCACGAGTTGGATGTTAAGTACATCACTAAGCACTTACAGGCGCGTCATCCTTTCGGCCAAGAGCTTGTACATCTTGCCAAGATTATCCTCGGTGAAAAGATCACGTGCCCATCTCGATGCTCGAACTTGTGTCATAAACGGTCGAATTACTTCTTGCATCCAAGTTGTGACTTTGATCGGAGTCGAGGCAAGAGGTAAGTAAATACTCGGTGCGCAAAGGAGGCTGATCTGCTCGATTACTCGAGCAAGCGGGCAATTGATTATTGTACGGCAGGAAAATTCCAATTAAGAACCCCACTTGGGGTCCTTTTTCTCAAAAGAGGACCCAAAGTGAACATGGTATCAAATAGGGGCCCGAAGTGCTCAATTCGTCTCAGGCAAGGGCCTGGGTTCGCCGGCCGGTCAAATCTCACCGGCCGGCGAGTACAGTACTGTTCCGGCAACCGGAACAGTACATTTCCTTTATGTTTTTTTTTCTTTTTCTGTTTTTTTTTTCTTCTCTTCCCTCCCCTCCGTCGGCCATAGCTGGGGCCGGCGGAGGTTGCCGGCCTCAGGCGGAGGCCGCCCTCGCCCGACGCCGGCAAGGGTCGCCCTCACCCGCCCAGTCGAGGGCCGCCCACGCTGGCGTCGGGCGGGCGAGGGCGACCCTCACTAGATCCGCAAGGGCAACCTCGCCTCGCCCTCGCCCTCGACGCCGGCGAGGGCGCCTCGACCGGGTTGGGCGGGGTCGGGCGAGGGTTGCCTCGCCCCAGCGAGGGTCGCCCTCGCCGGCGGCCGGCCGAGGGCGACCCTCGCCGCATCCGGCGAGGGATCGGCGAGGGTCGCCTCGGCGGCCGCCGGCGAGGGCGGCCCTCGACCGGGCCGGGCGGGGTCGGGCGAGGGTTGCCCTCGCCGGATCCGGCGAGGGTCGCCCTCGCCCGCCCGACGCCGGCGTGGGCGGCCCTCGACTGGGCGGGCGAGGGCGACCCTCGCCGGCGTCGGGCGAGGGCGGCCTCCGCCTGAGGCCGGCGACCTCCGCCGGCCCCGGCTATGGCCGGCGGAGGGGAGGGGGAAGAGAAAAAGGAAAAAAAAAAAACAGAGAGGAAATGTACTGTTCCGGTTGCCGGAACAGTACTGTGCTCGCCGGCCGGCGAGATTTGACCGGCCGGCGAACCCAGGCCCTTACCTGAGACGAATTGAACACTTCGGGCCCCTATTTGACACCATGTTCACTTTGGGTCCTCTTTTAAGAAAAGGACCCCACTTGCGGTCCTTAATTGGAATTTTCCCTTGTACGGCGGGCGATTCGTGTGCCACGGCTTCCATGTGCATGATCGAACGGATTAGAAATGAGATACACAAATGATTGGATCTTGTTGAATTCTTCTCCTGATCGTAGATGTATGGATAAGTGATGACTGGATGCTTACATTTTCGACATAAATATGGTTGTTTGAGCAGTACGATAGGACACATGTTTGCTGAGATAGCTAAGATGTGGGCTCTAGCCATTTAGGAGAAACTATTATATAACACTTTGATTTAGGTCAGCAAAAAATGAGTTCATTCTTTTTACGACGTGGGCATGGATAGGCCTAGCGCATGCTCATTGTATGTACCACTACTTTATTAAATTTATTTACGATCAATTGGACATTGCTACACGTATATATAATCCAATTTCCGCGGAAAAAAACGAAGGTAGTTCAGTAAAGAAAAGATATTTGATAGTATGTAAATGGGATAGATAAATGGACTGTGGATTCCTTTGGTGTAAATTGAGGTAATCCATCCCAATTGTCAAATAACCATAATTTCACTCGTTTGATTCTTAAACTTGGTCATTGGAGTTGTGCTTGTACTCACAGGTCATGTTCAAGACTATAATAAAGGTCACCACCTTTAGATATCATGTGACATTGAGATAATTATTAATCGACAATTATGTCTATACATTACTTATCCTATGTGTAAAATACCTCGTATTTGTGTAACATTACATTCTCATATTCGCATGTAGTTCTTAACTTACATTTATGTTTGTAGCTTACCTTCAGTTGTTGTAGATTACCTTTCTGGTTTGTATCATACCTTTTTTTATGGTTTCAATAAATTTCATAAACACAAATAGCTCACAAATCAAGTCCTTTTAGTATTAACCAATCTAATCTAATCTAATCAAATCATACAACAAAAATCAAACTCAATTTGACCAAAACCATATAAGGGGGGAAACACATTGGCCAGCTACAAATTTCGATTTTTTAATTCTAGTATTGAAGAATAGATTGCCAAATAATTCTTCAATCTTCCTAATTTCCTAAACCTTCCACTTCTCAACAATGCAAGATTGGTCCCTTCTCTTAAGCTCTCTGCACTACTGATGAGTACACAAATTCTTCACTCATAGACGACACGTCTATATGCAAAACGTACGGTAAAATAAGACGATCCAATTAGAGAGAGAACCATTTGAAAGGAGGAGATATATGTGTAGATATATTCAATAATCTCATGCTGTTGCAGTCGAGGCGTCCAAGGACCTATACAGTTAATTCAAAAAACTCACTACAATTCATATTTTGACAAATTATATACATCTCTTTGGCAATTGGAACCAGAACAAATACTGTGGTTTAAATATAATGGAAGAGCTTCAAATCAGTAAAGCAGCAAAAAAGTCATCGCGAGCATCTGCAGCAACTCAATAGTGCTTTTGTTTACCTCAAATTGACCTCTCTTCAGGGTGCTCCTGAGTGTTCTTTATCATCTTTGAGACAGGACAGATTCACTCCATGAAAGCATAAGATCCCGAGCAACTGTTGGTAAGTCTGCAAAATGGAAAGCACGTGAATTTTAAGAAAGGATGTAGAACTGGGGCAAATGAACTTGTTTTCATGTTTGGCAGTGCTTAATTATCCTTTGAACATGGTTAAAGTTTTACCTCGTACTACTTCCAAAGCTATTGAGGGTATATCTATTTGGTCTTCAACTAGTCTGTAAACATCCACGAGCTGCAAAATCAAGCGCCACAACTCAGAATTCACATTAATTAGAGTTGAGAATGTAAAGCTTCACACACATACCTCCTGAATGTGAAGCTTTGAATCTTCTGTCAAAGCAAGGATGAGCTGTCTTCGAATCCCTTCATCAACGAGGAAAAGGC